AGAATCCAAGTACGACTCCCCCCATGGCGCCCTCCCCCCTTGGGCCAGCCACCTCTCCTCCCCTCCTTTATATACGTGGGAGGGGGCACCCCAAAGGCACACCAAGTCTTCTCTTAGCCGTGTGTGATGCCCCCCTCCACAGTTACACACCTCGGTCATATCGTCGTAGTGCTTAGGCGAAGCCCTGCACCGATAACTTCATCATCATCGTCGCCACGCTGTCGTGCTGACGAAACTCTCCCCCGGCCTCAACTGGATCAAGAGTTCGAGGGACGTCATCGAGTTGAACATGTGCTGAACGCGGAGGTGTCGTAGGTTCAGTGCTTGGATCGGTTGGATCGCGAAGACGTTCTACTACATCAATGGCGTTACTAAACGCTTCTGCTTTCGGTCTACGAGGGTACGTGGATACACTCTCCCCGCTCGTTGCTATGCATCTCCTAGAAAGATCTTGCGTGAAGAGTTTGAATTTTGAAGTTTTCAAATTTGGCTCCATTCGACATTTACGGGGTGGAAAAGGTATGTAAACCACACGTCTAGGTTATTTACTTAGTACTTCCTCCGTTCCTAAATATTTGTCGTTCTAGAGATATCAACAAGTGACTACATACGGAGAAAAATGAGTGAGTCTACACTCTAAAATGTGTCTATATACATCCGTATGTCGTAGTCCATTTAAAATCTCTAAAAACACAAATATTTAGGAACGGAGGGAGTATTTGTGTAGGTGTAGTATCGTGTAGAGAATCAAGTGAGTGGCCAACTGCAATTCTGTTGTTTGTGTAGTTTACTCCACCATAAAGGAATGAAGCCGTCACCACAGATCTTGGCGGTTCCCCCTCCTCCGGCCGTGATCTTGGTGCAGCAAGACGGGGAGGCCTTAGGGCATCTTCAACGCTTACCCCTAAACTGGATATTACATCTGTCCGCGGATTGGGAGGGTCAGCCCGCGGACATGGATGCAGGAGCCGACTATCTAACCGTAGCCGCATACATTTCAAACCGGATTTCAACAAACTGATGGATTACATGCAAACTAGGTAATTTCCATATAAACCAGACAAAAATATTTACATTTCAAACATATTTCAACTAAACTATAGCGGACTAGGCTAGGTTATTCTAATGTAATCTATCGCCGGCCGTGGCAGAGCCCTATTGCCATGACATGACTTCCTCATGTCCGTCAGCATGCTCACATGACTGTCGTGAACCCGAAGGGATATGCTTCAACGGAAGGGGAAGAGAAGCCTATGCTTCCATGAAGCACGGATCAATGTTGTTTTTACGGTGGGGGAAGACAGTCATTGTGGCATACGGCCCCCGGGTAAGTCACCGGCTGTGTAACCCAGCGAGGCAGTGGCGGTGGCCTTCATGGGTCCCAAGCAGCGGCGGCGTCCCATGGTCTACTATTCCTCGCTATCGGTGGCGGCAGGTAGGCGGTTCGAGGGTCCGCGTTGGAGATGTCCTTAGGTCCTTTGAGGTATATGCGCCGGCAAATTTTAACATGGTCCCTCTTTTCTCCTTTTTTAATGTGAGAGGTAAGAGTATATAATAAATCACACAAGCGCACATCGTCCGCCATTGGAGATGTTTTTCGCTTAGGACTTCCTTTTTCTAGATAGGCATCTCAAAGGATTTATATATTTTTAAGATAGTCAAGTTTCATGTAGATGTGTGCGGGCGTGGCTATGTATCGCTTGCTTTTACTAGGGGTGCTATATCTCGCTTGCTCTGCGTCGGTAGCTGACGATAGCCCTGCTTAGCACTCTCTCACTAGTTGTTACGTCGGTCCTTTTCTTTTAGCTTTTTTTATTTTTGATTATATTTAAAAAACTTATAAAAAATATATTCAAAAATTATTTGACATAAAATTTTAAAAAGTTCATCGTACATCAGAAATTGTTAATGTAGTGTAAACATTTTTTCGTGCAACTTCAAAAAAATGTTCTTACTATTCAAAAATGAGTGCATACCATTAAAAAATGTGTGTGACATTTAATAAATGTTTACGTGTTTCAAAATATGTATGTGGCATTTAAAAAAAAATCTTTATACAATATAAAAAATGTTTGCATAACTTGAAAGCATGTTACATTTTTTAAAATATCTATGCTCTCACTAATATGTTTGTGCCATTTAAAAAATGTTAGACATTGTAAAACAATGTTTATATAGTTTTTTAAAATCGTAAAACTAATAATTATTTATGACATTCTTAGAAAATGTTCACACATTTCAAAGATATGTTGTGACATTTTTTTAAATGTTAATACAATGTAAAATAATGTTCATCTAATATAAGAAAGAGTTTTCTACCATTCAAAAAAATCTTCAACGTGTATTTGAGAATGTTTAACATTTATTCTAAGAAAATATTCAAACTTGTATTTAAAAAATGTTCATCATGTATTGGGAAAATGTTTAACGTGTATCGAAAGAATGTTATGCGTTCATATGAAAAATGTACATCGCGTATTGGAAAGTCGACATGTATTTGAGAAAAAAGATAAAAAGGAAAAAAACAATGAAAACTGATACAAAAATATATAGAAACAAAAAGAAGAAGAAAAACCACATGAAAGGTTCTAAAACCGATCTAAACCGGTCCATAAATGATAAAACCTTCCCAAAACCTCTCCAGGAGCTACAGTGTTAGGCCGACTGTTTTAGGGGAGGTCTAGAGGCTAGACGGGGCTAGATATCCCAACAAAGAGATATAGCCCTCGCGGGTGTGTCTCATACGTCTCCGTCATATCTATAATTTTTGATTGTTTCATGCCAATATTATATAACTTTCACATATTTTTGACAACTTTTTAGTGGTTTAGCATTCATTTTTATCGTCAGAGTAACGTCTTTCCATAGAAAACCTCATCGGAGCACCAAAGCTTTCAGCTGCCGCCACCTTAGGTTTAACTTTTACCGTCTTCTCTGAATTGCCATAGATCCAAAATTATAGCTTTAGCTTGTGAAATCTGTTTGTCCACCACTCAGCAAAATTTTCACTGATAGATTTGAAGCACCATAACTGCCATGGCGGCTTATGACATAAACCGTGACCCGCCATATAACATTAGGCCCATTTAAGCCGCAATCATCCACTTCAAAGTCAATAATCCGGCAATATCCTTCCAGTTAGCTGGCTTATTCATCCTCATAATTCAGTCCTCCGGTTTGACAACCGTATACTCTGAACTGTATCTCCATAGCCATTAGCCTTTTACAGCGGTTTAAACAATAATTTGTAACTCGCTAGATATCTGCCGGTTTAATAACATCTTGAATCGCCTTATAGGCCGTGCACCCAATCATGACTAAGACCATCACATCATGCGGCTGGGTCCCGTCCATCATTACCGAGGCAATGCTCCAAGATTATGTCAAGATTGGCTTTTTACTGGCAAAAAACATCATTCACTGACGTGCTCTAAAACCAGACGAAGTCAGACCTCAGCCGTGGTTGCTGGGACATGTGGAATTTTGTCATGAAAGGCGAGAGAGCAATGTGGAGGCTCATTGTATTGCAAAAAATTCTCTTTTCTTAGCCGTAGGAATCAACCCCCTGATTATGTAAGCACTCTTATTACGTAATAAAGATCTGGTGGTTTGTCTAAAAAATAGTATATAGAGATACGGGGTAGGCTAGACGATGAGGACCAACCTCCTTCTGCATGTGAGAAGTTTGACTCTTCAGCCCGCTTCACATTAGTGATTGTTGTCACTTCTTTTGTTTTTCTAATATAACTTTGTGGATAAACACTAGGTCTAACCCTTCCACTAGAAAAAAGTGCATCCTTAGCCGTTGATTTTCTTTTTTATGAAATGTAGCTGTTGATCCACTCCCCATCAAAGTAGATACTGTACTCCCTCCGGTCTTTTTTACTCTGCATATAAAAATTGTCTGAAGTCAAACTTCATAAAGTTTGACCATATTTATATGAAAAAATATCAACATCTATCATACCAAAGTCGTACAATATGAAAATTTAAGTCATGACGCATCCACTGATATTAATTTCACAATGTAAATATTGGTATTTTTTTCTATAAAGTTGGTCGAACTTTACGAGACTTGATTTCAGACAAATCTTATATGCAAACTACAAAGGACCGGAGGGAGTAGTAACACACCTTTCATCTTTCTTTTCCCCCCTTTTGTCAGGAGGACACCTTTCATTCCTTAATAGTAGATCCAGTAAATTACATACAAGTACTACAATTTTTTGCATGGAAATTACATACAAATTGTTGGACAGTGTAGATGCACACGTGATACGTGACGACGTATGCTCTGTAGTATATGCGGCTGCACCAGCACCAGTACGTACGTGGGCAGATGCTCGATCGCGCGCAGCTAGATCTCGGCGGTGAGGCCTTCGACCTCGAGCTGGAACTTGTCCATGGCGTCCTTGGGCAGGCTGATAGGCACCACGGTGCTCTCCTCCCCCTTGCCGTTCTTGGACCTGGAGAAGTAGTTGGTCACGCCGGGGATCGGCCCCTCGCCGCCCTTGGCCGGCCCGCCGTACACGGCCTCGCCCCACCCGAAGTCCACGCTCTTGAACCCGGCGTGGCTCACGTCCGACACGATGTACGTCCGGGACAGCGCGAACAGCGGCCGCCCCCGGAGCACCATCAGGTCCGCCACCGACAGCAGGTAGTCGTACGTCACCGCCGACTTGGCCTTCTTCACCAGCTCCAGCGCGTAGCCCAGCCCGCCCGCGCAGAGCTCCCCGGCCGTGGTCGCCGCCACGGAGTAGGCGAAGGCGTTCCCGTAGAAGCCCTCTGGGAGCGGCACGTCGCGGCGGCCGCGCGCGTTCACGATGAAGGACAGCCGCACCTCCTCGTCGGCGCCGTAGCCGAGCGCCGCCGTGCGGCCGAGCCAGATGCACGCCGCCACCAGCTCGAACCGGGAGCTCCGGCTCATGTGAGGCGGCGCGCGCTGCCGCAGCCCCGCGATCTCGCGTGGCCCGAAGAAGAAGAGCACGCGCGCGACGTCGCCGGGAGGAGTCGTCAGCATCCGGTCGACCGGCCCGCCCGCCGGCTCGCTGTACTCCAGGTGCGGGTACGACGGCTGCGGCGGCTGCCTCGCCATGAACATCTCCCTGCCCCATGACGGCGTGATCGACGGTGCGGCGGCGCCGCACGCCAGCTCGCAGACGGCCTTCTCGAACTGCATCCCGCCCGGTGCGTCCGCCACGCAGTGGCAGAAACGCTGCCCGAAGATGAAGCCCCCGCACTTGAGCCTCGTCACCTGCACGTCAATGTTGACAACATCGTTATTTACCTGGAGAAACAACTCGATCGATCTTACTATGTGACAGGGGCACGTGCCCGTTACGTACCTGGATGTAGAGCAAGGGGCGGTCGATGACGGGCTCGACGCCGGCGACGGTGGTGCTCTCGAGGATGAACTGCTCGAAGCAAGGGAACGGGGGGCTCTGCACGTCCCCGAAGTCAGCCGCGGTGAGGTCGACGTCGGCCTCGACGAACATGACGCCCTGCGCCTCGCAGTCGACGACGAGCTTCCTCCCGGCCTCCTCGCGCAGGCGGCCGGCGAGCGGGTAGTAGGGCACGAGCGCCCTGGCCAGCGCCTCCCGGATGACGGCGGCCGGGTCGACCCCCTGCTTGTCCGGGTTAGCCCGGTACAGGTGGATGCCCGAGCTGTAGAACCGCATGCCCTCGCCGTCGTCGATGTCGGACAGCGTCTTGGTCTCCCTCGGCGTCTGCTCCGCCGGGGCCACCAGCACCGGCTCGCCCCGCCGCACCGCGAACGCCGGGAGGAGCGACGACGCCATCGACTCGAAGCGAGGCAGCTAGCTAGCTAGAGACTCCGCAGATAGTACACGTCCGTGCGCGTGCAAAAGCCGTGAGGAATGCGGTGCGTTGTGAGAGGACGTGAGTGGAGTGAGTGTGCTCGTGGTGATCATGGGCGCGTTTTATAGGGGAGGAAGATGTTGGGGTTGGTGCCATGGCCATACGGCCGTTTGGTCGTCGGAATTCCGGCGTCTGGCCAGTAGGTGGGCTGGGCATGCATGATCAGCGGTGGCGTGGTGGGGGTTGGTCAGTGGATTTCGCCGTTGGGCCACACACACGCGCGCACACGAGAACGGATTAGGCAGCAAGCAATGATGGTAAGCACGTACGTACGTACTCCAGTAGATCTCGTGCGGGATCAAAGTCGCGCGGAAATCCGTAAACAAATTCCCGGCGAGAAGGACGTGTCAACTGTTCGACGCCACTCCGGGTCGAGATTCAGGCGCGCACCCTGCATGCAGTGTGAGTGGCGTTTGGTGGCCGTTTTGCCCGGGGGCG